AAACTCCTGTTAATAGAAAATTATGCCCTAAATATACATTTTGTTTAACATTAGATCTATTTCAGCCCAAAGGAATCTATGGGGTTGGGGGGGTATTCCTTCTAGCTTTTAAAAATGCCCATGGGGTGTCTTATTCTCTTCCCCCTCAGTTTAGTAGTAAACAAGAGGTAGTTTGGAGTAGTGAGAAGAGGTTCTCATTACTTCTAGTCCTGGCTCTTCACTGCTCCTTGGCAAGGTTCTTAATGTCTCTGGGTTCCCCTCTTCTTACCTTTCTCCTATGCTCCCCAAAGTGTGGGAGTCACACTTCAATGCTATACACCTGACCTCACTAATCAGATATTTTAAGGTGTATTTATTTGAATTAGTAATACACCTACCTGGTTCAAAATGTAAAAGACATAAAGGGAGATGCAGTGCCATGTTTCTCCCACCTGTTCCTCTCTGCGTCTCCCTGTGCCAGTTTCCAGGTTTATTTTGCAAACTCAGAAATTTCTAGAGACTATGAAAGGCAAATGGAAAGCAGTATGACTAAATTAAATCTGAATGGAAGAGATTTATCCTATGGCAAGACTGCTCAAGGTGCTTATTTGCCACCTTTATAGGCTCTCCCAAGTTCTCCGAGACTTCAAACAACAACATTCAAGTAAACTACTAAATAGCCATGGCACCTTTTCAGGCAATTTGACTTTGAACTTGATAATGTGCAAAGGAAATGGTTCAGCCATTTCTCTAGAAGTTGGTTGATAAGAAATTTTATTTAAAAAAAAAAAAAAAGAAATTTTATTTTTGTCCCATTTATCATTTTCTTTTAAAAATTTGCCTTTTTCTGATGTTGAGTAGGATAGAAAGGAATAAAGGAAAGATTTAGTTTTGGACTACTTCGAGATTTATATACCTTAGGCCAAGACAAAGCACACAAGAAATAAAATTTTAACAAAACGTCCTTAATTTCTCTTCAGCTAATCTAGTATTTGTAATCTTTCTAAGATTGCTTACATCTGCATTTATTTATACAGAGTGTGTTGAGCAAGAGAACAGTGGTGTAAGCAGCACATCCAGGCAGACAAGATGTGTGTCTAGCCTACATTACAGGTACAGGCCGTTGCTGAATGAAACGTCTAATTTATTAAAGCATCCTTGAAGCACTCCTGTGCCCATCAAATATTTTCCTTAAATGTTTAAATTTACAATGCAAAATAAAATTAATTTTAAAAACTACTTTCTAGGGAAAGGGCATTAAAGGATTTTTTTTTCACCCATGACAGCTTTGGAGTAATCTAAAATATGGTAGTTATTTTGCAAGAGCTGGGGAACACCACCCCCTTCTGCTCTTCTGACGCTGGAGGTTTATTGTGCAGGAAGTAGTGATCAAAATCCAACTCAATTCATTTGGAAAAGAAACGTGATTGCCAGGACGTGCACCACCGTCACGACAAAGCATAGGCTTTGCGTATACACAGCAGGCCACACGCACTGTGGCATACAATCTAGCACTGGAGGTTGCTGCCTTTGTTAATTTGTTTATGGACAAGGTTTTAAAGTTCTTTTTTTTCCCTAGTTCTATTAATCGAATTAAGTAACTAATGAATCCCATTCATTTATTCAGTCCTCAGACGTTTGTTAAGAGCCTACCGAGGACATAACGATCAAGGTCCAGTACCTACCCTCATGCAACATACAATCCGAGCGAAGGTTTACTTTTCAGTAGTCACCAGGTTGTGCTTGTATGGCGCTTTACTGCTCCCCCGGGACCGGGTGGCTGGGCCTGACCTGGGGCGGCGGCGCGCGGTCCCGCGGTCCCTGGCCTGCCGGGCAGGGCGGGCTCAGCCCAGCGGCCGGGGTCGCTGCCCCCGCGCTCCCTCCCGCGCCGCCTTCAACTGCGCAGCTCTGACCGCCGGAAATTAGCCGACGGCCGAGCGGACCCAGTGGAGAGCTGGCGAGCCCCGCCGGGCGGGTGCGCCCCCCGGTCCCGCCGGGCGCCCGAGGGACGCGCCGCCAGGGCCCTCTCCGCCGGGGGCTCGGCGCTCGCCCACCTCTTCCAAATTTAACCATTACCTAAATCCGAAGGGAAATGAGCAAACCTCTGGGATTGGGTGTCAAGGTATTTTCAGCCTCGTTGGGCGTATTTATCCCGAAGTGTTTCCACAACAAGCTATTTCGGGGCCGCGGGGCAGGTTTCGCTCTGCGGACGCCGCGGCCACTTGCCGGGCTCCAGGCGGGCGGCTCGCGGCGCGGCCCGGGGGCGGCGCGGCCCAGCAGGCGGCGGGGCTGGGCGCCGCGACGGGGCCCAGGGGCCTCCTCCGAGCCGGGCGCCCCGCCGCTCGCGCTCCCGTCAATCTGTGTCCCGAATCTGTGACTTCTTCTCGCCGCGGAAGTCTCCCAGGAGCCAAGAATAGTTCGCTTTATTTCGAGTCACTTATAGTGCCCGAGTGTCGGGACCTACAGGCTCCCGCATCCCCCGCCGTCCCGCAGGGAAAACCGGGGAGGGCGGAGAGGGGCGCCCAGGACCCTGGCTGGAAGGCCAGGCCCCCGCCCGCCTCCTAACCTCCTGCTCGAAAGAGGGGCCCGCCCGGCCGCGGGGGGGGGGTTGGGGAGCAGGTCTAAGAGGCTACGCCAGCTACTCTGTAACGCTCAGGAAGTGAAGCTTGTGGTTTTGGGGGCTGAGCTCGGAAGAAGATTAAAAAAAGAGAGAGAGAGACACAGAGCGGTCTCTCCCGAAAGCAAGATTCCGTTTGAAAACTTTCGGAGCGCGGTGCCCGCGCCCTGACCCCGCAGGTAGGTCGGCCGCGCCAGTTCTGCAGCCCCCGCCCTGGCGGGGGGCGGCCGCGGAGACCCGCCGGGCTCCGGCGCTGCGGGGGCGACCGGGGCGCACAGCCGGGCTCCCGCTTGCTGCCGGCCGCCGTGCGTGAGCCGGGAGAGCCCGGGTCGCCGGGCTAGGGCGCGACTCGCGCGGCAGGGCTGGAAATCTGGCGCAGGGGGGCGTGCCGGGCGGCCCGGTGGTTCAGCAGGAGAGCGGAATCCACCCGGGAAGGAAACACCTGGTGGGGAGCCGGCGGCAGCTGCGCTTGGGAGGCCGCCCCCGCAGCGCCTTCAGCTCCCGCCTTCCCGGGTCCAGATCACGAGGAGAGGCCCAGAGGGCCCGCGTGCGCTGAGGGGCTGCCCCGCCTCGAGGCCACCAGCTGCAACGCGGGGTTGCCTTCCCACGCACCGAGCCCTCAGCCCTAACACCCTCTGCCTCCTCCATCACCACCCGCAACCAGGAGAGCGGGCCCGGAGCGAGGGAGGCGTGGATCTGCGGCCCAGGGCGCAGGCCGCCCGGTCCGCCTGGGCTCTTGTGCGTGGTCCCTGCCCGCGCAGACCCAGCGCAGTTGCTGACAGCTACCCCCCTCCGCTCCCAGCCCACGCAGGTCTAAACCTCAGTGACACTCTTGGGATAGCTTCACCCGCTTTCCTTTTCTTCCCAGTGTCATGGGTTTTTTTTTTTTAAAGAATTGTTTTTAGCGTTTGTGGCGTCTAATTGTATTGCCAAGGAGTGCAGGAAGCTGCAGAACCCCCGGCCCTGGACGGCAGTCCAGCCAGAGGCGGGCGGCACCCTCTCCCCTAGGAGCATGCTGGCGTTGAGGTCGCGGGAAACGTCGCTGGGGCCCCACGACCACGTCCCAGCCGTCTTTTGTCCCAGGTCAGTCCCCACTCCTCTGGGGAAGGGGACACCACGAGGCTGCGGATCTGGAGGAGGCGGCGTGCAACCTCCACGGACTGAGTCCCGGAAGATTCGTTTTGAGCCAAGAGTGCCAGCGGACGGACTTAGATACTGTGCCCTGCTTCTGGCCCTGGGTGCCCAGCGGCTCCTACCCTGGCAGTCTAAACCGCGCGAAGGCCAAGGACTGGGGGTCTTGACCCGGCCCAGAGTTGCCAGCGCCCTTGTTTCTGAGCCAGCCGAGGCCAGTGAGAGCCGCTGAGTCCGAATAGGCTGCGGCGTGTGAGTGAACTCAGCGTCGCCTTCACCCCCGAGGAAGGCAGATTCGTTTGCCCCAGACTTCTTTGGCCACTGGGTGCCGGCCCGGAGCGGAGCGGGCGGCGCAGCCCCTCCTCCCCGTCAGGCTCGGATTTCAACCCAGGATTAGGTGAACTGATTGGGGTTAATGAGAGCGACGCAGGACAGCTAGCTCCCCGGGGCTCGCGCCGAACCCCGGTTTCTGGCTCCTGCCAGTGCAGCCTGAGCGCCCTGCGTCTTGTGTGTCCTCTATACTGTCGGTGCACCGCGCACTCGCGACACCGCGCATTTCGCAGTCAGCTTGCGCGGGTCGGGTTCCACTTCCCTAGAACAAGATTTTTGGTGACAGAACGGAAAATGCCTTTTCCCGGGACCTGGTTTCCGAGGTTAGGTCTCTGTCGTCTGGGGTGTCTCGACGCGGCTCCGGCCGGTGCTCGCCACCCTCGCGGCTCCGGGGCCAACTGTTTCCCCACGTGGGGCACGAGTGAGGGGCGAGTGGGATCACCGGATGCGAATTTCTCCCAGGGCGGGGGTTGATCCTCAGCCACTCCCCTCACCTTCCTGTCCCTCTGCGCTCCCGCCTCCCTTCTCGGGCCTCCGCTGCCCGCGGTCCCTGCGCTGCGGTCCCCCCAGCCCCGCCCTTCAGTCCTGTCTAGTGCGCGCCGCCCTGACCCCTTTCTCTCCAGGCTGTAGCGGGCTCCTGAAGGTCTTGGCTCTTTGCCCCTTCCGGGTGCTCGACCACTGACGCACCCCGGCCCCTAAACTGATTCGCGCGTCCCCACCCTCCCTTCCCGGCCGTAAAGCAGAGCCCAGCAGTTCGAGTTGGGGTAACCGATCCGTTGGGGACTACCACTGTCCGGAGAGTCTGACTGCGGGAACTGGCTTTACTAGGGAAGGGGAGGGGCTGGGGGGCGTGGGCAGGGCAGAGGAAAGGGGCCTGAGCCAGGGGCCCAGGACAGTTTTTACCGCTGAGCTGTGGCAGCGGCGGCGGCGGCGGCGGCGGGCCCGCGCCACCTGTCAGAGTGCCACCTGGTGAGCGCGGCGCGGCGGGGCCAAGCCCCTCCTCCCGCGTCCCTTCTTTACTCCTCTCTGGCCCACGCTCTCCCTCCGCCTGGGTGCCCAGTCCCCAGCCCGGGAGGGTGCTGAGTCGCGTTTGCACCCGGTTTTCTTCCCCTCTCAGATCTCTGCCGGGCTGGGGCTGAGCAAGCAGTCGGAGTGACCGTGGGCTGACGGCTGCTCCAGGGACCCTTGGAGCGGAGTGGGCAGTGCGCCAAGCCACCATGCCGCGCTCATTCCTCGTCAAGAGCAAGAAGGCTCACAGCTACCACCAGCCGCGCTCCCCAGGACCAGACTATTCCCTCCGTTTGGAGAATGTACCGACGCCCAGCCGAGCAGGTGCGAGGCGCTCGCGGGCCAGGCGGGGCTACCCTCAGGGACTCTTACTCTGCACCCTGCCACACCATTCTCTGGGAACTGGGAGGGCGGCCCCAACGCCCCCTTTGCTGCCGTTTTGTGTTTCCTCTGTCCTGGTTCTTCCTGGGCTTGTCGCCTAGGCGCTACCGCCTCTCTGCGCCTGCCCTCGGATCCGGGAAGGTTCCCGGCCGGGTCTGGGAGGAGAGGGACGCTTGGGCTCCACGGTCTGGAACCGTCAGGCTCAGCAGGGCCCAGCCTGAACCCCTCTCCCGCCTCCTCTCCGCAGACAGCACTTCGAGTGCAGGCGGGGCTAAGGCGGAGGCCCGGGACCGCTTGTCCCCCGAGTCGCAGCTGACCGAGGGCCCCGACAGAGCCTCCGGGTCCCCAGACAGCTGCGAGGGCAGCGTCTGTGATCAGAGCTCGGAGTTTGAGGACTTCTGGAGGCCTCCGTCGCCCTCCGTGTCTCCAGGTAGGGGCCCGCTGGGAGCTCCCAGGGCGGGGACCGCAGGGCCCCGGCGGTGAGGAGGGACTCGGCATGACCGTGGGTGCAGAAACGTTAAATGGGTGGCGGAGAGTCTTTCCAGGAGCGGGAGCTTGTTCGGGGGGGCAGGAGCCCAGTGGGGAGGCATCGGCTTCTCTGGGCCCCGACAACTTGCACGCCGGACCCATCGCCTTCATCCAAGGCGGTGAGACCCTGACTGCTGGTCCCTTACGCCCGTTTGCGCAGAGCTGGCCGCTGAGAGAAAACAAACCAGCGGGCTCGACTGGCAGCAATGTCGACATTTCGTTTTCTGACCAGAGCCGATTGTTTAGAAAGTGCTAGCATCCCAGAATCTAGACCTCCAAGCCTCAACCAAACGGAGGCCGGGGCGTTCTGGGCCTGGCAGGGGTAGGCGCCAGGCGGAAGCGGTCCGCGACGAAAATCTCAGCCTGCTGCTTGCTCTTCGCAGGCGCGGATTGGGGGCCTGTTTCATTTTTCGTTTTGCCAGGTTCACGCAGCCTCAGGGGACTAGCCTTGGGTTTCATTCTAGAGAGCAAACCAGCTCCGGGCAAACAGAGTGCACGTTAGGGGGGCCCAGGAGGGGGCGGCGGGGGCGTCTCGGGTCGGGTCGTGGCCGGGGAACGAATGGAGACCAGATCGATTCGGCAAAGGGCCGGTTATGTCCACATTATATTTACTAGTTTTAAAAGACACCTCCACCACCACTACCCATTCCACACTCAGTGAGTTGACGTGGCTAAACCTAACGCTCCGGCGAGTGAGCCCGGGAGCCCGGAGCAGGAGGGTTCTTCCTGGCTGTGCGCCAAATGGCCGGCAAGGGCCGGGTGCCGCTGGAACGCCTCCGACTGAAACTCGGGTTACGGCCTCTCCATGAAGCGGCGAGCCTGGACTGGAGTGTGCGTGTGCGTGTGCGTGTGTCAGATTCGTTTGGTATCTAGTTTTAGCAAAATTCACATGGGTGGACGTGCAGCAGGCCAAGGATTCAGAAAACTTCCCCTTGCAGGTGGCGGCTAAACTTTATGAATAATTATATAATTATTCTCTGAGAAATTGAGAAATTCTAGTTTTTCCCTCCATCAGACTATAACAGGAATGGGAATGGGGAATATTTGGTGCGCAGTTCAAGCCCGAAGCTCCTTTCCCACTGCCCCTTTGCTACCTGTTCTGGACACTTAACTTTGAGGAAACTTCCGTTTTTTCCAGATATATACGCTTCCAGTAGTCCGGGGCCGCATTTTATAGACTCTCTCCCTCCTTCCTCATTGATCCCGGAAAGAAAAAGGATTAGGAGCATGTAGGGGCTGGGAGCGTGCCGGCGCTGGTGGCTGGACCTCCGCCCACGAGCGCTGACCCTGCCGAACGGCGGCGTCTTCTCCAGGATAGCTCAACTCTGAGCATTTAAGGACGCATCTGTCCCTAGGGGACCTCTAAGTGCCAGGGTTCAGCCAGAAAATACCCTCGTAACGCCCAGCGCTGCCGCTGTCCTCGCACAGATTTTACCTCTCTCCTCACTCGAGGTCATTTACGTTGTCTGTTGCCCTGTCGCCCCCAGCGCCGGCCGCGTTTTGCCCTGGGGCGTGCCCAGCAGCTAGCGCAGCCCCGCTCAAGTTCCGCGTGCCCGGGGTGGGCAAACACGCCGAGCCCGCAGGCGCCCGGGCGGCCTGCGCCCCGCCGTCGAAAGCCTGACCCGACGCCCTCTTGTGCCTCCACAGCCTCGGAGAAGTCGATGTGCCAGTCGCTGGACGAAGCCCAGCCCTTCCCCCTGCCTTTCAAGCCGTACTCGTGGAGCGGCCTGGCGGGTTCCGACCTGCGGCACCTGGTGCAGAGCTACCGGCCGTGCGCGGCCCTGGAGCGTGGTGCGGGCCTGGGCCTCTTCTGCGAGCGCGCCCCGGAGCCGGGCCACCCGGCCGCGCTGTACGGCCCAGAGCGGGCTGCGGGCGGCGCGGGGGCCGGGGCGCCGGGGAGCTGTCGCGCAGGGGGCGGCGGTGCCAGCAGCGCGGGCTTGGGGCTGTACGGCGACTTCGGGCCCGCGGCGGCCGGCCTGTACGAGCGGTCGACAGCAGCGGCGGGCGGCCTGTACTCAGAGCGTGGCCACGGGCTGCACCCGGACAAGGGCGCCGGCGTCAAGGTGGAGTCCGAACTGCTGTGCACCCGTCTGCTGCTGGGCGGCGGCTCCTACAAGTGCATCAAGTGCAGCAAGGTGAGGCTCTGGCACTCCGGGCCTCGCCGGCCACGCGCCCGCATCCCCTGCCCGCGCCCCTCCAGCCCCGCACCCCGCGCCCTCTCTCAGCGGCCTTCTCCCTGGCCCCACCCACCTCAGGTGTTCTCCACTCCGCACGGGCTCGAGGTGCACGTGCGCAGGTCCCACAGCGGCACCAGACCCTTTGCCTGCGAGATGTGCGGCAAGACCTTCGGGCACGCGGTGAGCCTGGAGCAGCACAAAGCCGTGCACTCGCAGGTAAGCGCGGGGCGCACGGCTCGCGCGGCCCTGATAGGTTTTTGCACTCTGAGATCTTCTCCGTGCAGCACCAGCAGCTCTCCGCCTGGCTGTTTCCTCCCAACTGCTTCCAGTCTTTCCCCCAACCCCTCCACACTGTCCCCTTGCTGTGGCGTAGATGTGTGGGGAATGTAGGTGGTGGCCGGCTCTTGGCTTGAGGGCAGCCTAGGGTTTGGTGTCTCATCATTGTGAACCTGGGAAGTATGATTTCACTCATTACTCTGAATTTGAGGAAGGTTTTGCACGGACTCGTGCTGCTGATGTATCAGATTTATTAGCTGCTTTTTTTCGTGGTTTCTTTTCACCAAATGGTTGTCACTTATTCTGCATCTACCCCCGCCCGACTGCAAGTGCAGGATCTCAGTTCATTTAGAGCACCCAGTGGCGTAACTACTCCGCTATTGTTTCGTTCATTCGTTTGTGAATATCTGTTGCCTAACTCCCAGGTGCCATGTACTTGAGAATCCTGTATCACACAAGGTCCTTGACAGGATGCCCGAGTGGAGATTACAGTTTAGCTGAGAGACAGAGGATAGATAAGCAAATAAACACCCTAATAACTAGAATAAGAGAATGCTTACTTACAAAGTTTTATTAAGTGAAAATTTTGTGAGTTTTACCTCTAGGTAAGAAAAAAGAATAAACATAATAATAATAAAAAGAACAAAGTCTTATCAACTAAAAAGAGTATCAGTCCATCTCCCCCAACACCCGCACTGGCTGGGGGAGGGGGCATCTCAAGTGACTGAGGTCTAAGCCTCTAGTTGAGGAGGGTGGAGAAGTGTGTGTACATGGGTGTCAAAAAAGCAGGGTGTGGATATGTTTTTGCCATGGGGTGTGGAGGGTTGTGGGTAAAAAGTGTTTTGGTAGAAAAAGTGTTGAAGGGTGGTGGGTGTCAAAGGATAAGGGTGGGGAGTGTGGAGGCTGGAAATAAATGGGGGAGGGAGGATGGTGGGGCAGGCTATATGGAAGGGGAGTCCTGGCTTTTGGGATTGTAGGTGACAGCAGTAGGAGTGCCACATCTTTCTCTCTGCAGGAACGGAGCTTTGACTGTAAGATCTGTGGCAAGAGCTTCAAGAGGTCATCCACACTGTCCACACACCTGCTCATCCACTCAGACACCCGGCCCTACCCCTGTCAGTACTGTGGCAAGAGGTTCCACCAGAAGTCAGACATGAAGAAACACACCTTCATCCACACGGGTGAGCTGAAGGCCCTTGGCTGGTAGGAAACATTCTGAAACCAATGTATTGCAACTCACCTTCTCTGTGATATTCTGGCCCTAACAAGTGGTGCATGAGGCCTTCCAAATGGAGCTAATCACTGCTGTGTGTTACAGAAAACAAAGAAGTGAGATTCTCTTAGGTTCATTTACAGACATGATGCTCCCCAGAGTGGCCTTGACTTGGGGTTGTGTCTGAAGACCACTCGGCAGGTCAGCTTGCAGGTTTTCTACCCCTGGGAAGAATATTTTCCTCTGCTTTAGCAGCTACTTCCACTGCTGCCTGCTCTGGGTGAAATATGAAGCGTCAGCGTCCTCTCCGTTGCTCTAAATGTTTACCTAGGGATTGAAGACTTTCTCTAGCACCCCCACCCAGCCTTTTAGGGGAGGGACTCCTGAGTGGCCTCTCTGGCTGCATTTTTAGGAGTCTAAAAAGCTTATTCCAATTTAGGAGGGAAAAACAATGGCAAATATTACTAAGCTGTCTGCTAAGCACTTTTAAAATGCATAATCTCATTTTGTGCTCACATCTTTGAGAGGTAGAGACTACTCCTTACCTTCATTTTAGAGATAGGGAAAGTGAGGCACAGAAAGGCTAGGTAACCTGCCCAGGGTCACGCTGCTAGCAAGTGAGAGGGCCAGAGCTCAAATTCAGGTCTGACTTAGCAAATGTCTATGTTCTTTTATTTTTTATTTTTATTTTTCTTTTTAATGTCTATGTTCTTGAACATGGTTTATCACATTCTACTTTCAGAGTCATGGAGGTTGGTAGATACAGAAAGCTGCTATTCACTTATTGCCTTTTTCAAAATATCAGCAAGTTTATGCCATAGTAATGATAACTCCTTACCTATAATGCTTTATAATTTTAAAGGGCTTTCACAGCTATCATTTCATTTGATCCTACTGCCACTCCTTAAAGTAGAAGGAACTTTGGGAATGATAGTGAATCATTGAATGAAAAAAGAAAATAAAAATAAAAATGATGAAGAATTTCTGTAATTTATTTAAAAAAAACATAAAGTAGAAGGAATTGTTCTTACTATCCTGAAACTCAGAGAGACTGAATGATTTGCCAAAAGTCAGAGTGAGTGAATTGTGGAGCCATAGAATGCTCTGGCTTCCAATCCTGGACTCTTTCCCTAACACTTTATGTGCAGATGGGGGTTTTAATGCCTGGAGCATTCTCTTTAGAAGTCAGTAAGACATTTACATGAGACCCAGAATTTCTGACAATTCCTCATAATATATTCCAAATACCCACCACTGATGTTTATAAATATGTTTAGGCAGTATAGATATTCTCATCAGAAAACCCAGAAAAATATCCTACTTTAATCTTTCCCCCTTCCATGAAATTTCCATGTAATTCTCCTTATAAGTAAGGGTATTCAAGGCATTTATCAAAATGTAATTAGGATCTTGACTGAATGAAACATTAAGCCATTATCAAAGACTTTAATTATATTAATAGAATTTGTTTCTTAGATTTGTTTGACCCTAAAGGGATAGGATAGATTTTGATGGGTGATACCTTATCAAGTAAATCTGAAGCCTAAAAGTAGAAAGAAGTACAAGAGGGACAGAGGGTTCCTCAAAAACAAATTTCATCTCTTTTGCATTTTTTCCAGGGCTCAGCCCTGACTATAATGCCATGCTGGGGCTATTTGGAAATTTATGCCGTTTACCCAAATGTTAAACAACATGTGAGATGGGGGAAGAGACAAAACCTCTGCATGTTCTGTCTGTTATTAATTTGTGGCGAAAAATTGGTGGTATATAAAGAATCCTGTGATTAACCTCATAAAAAGAAAGTAAAATCAAGACAGAAAAAGATCAGCTACCTCAAGAAATACTTTTTGTGGCCCAAATGTGAATTTTTAGAATAAGATTTTGAGAAATGTCCATGTTTCATATACATTCTGCTGTCCTTTAAGAAAGAGGCCAGGCATGGTAGCTCATGCCTGAAATCCTAGCACTTTGGAAGGCTGAGGCAGGAGGATCACTTGAGGACAGGAGTTTAAGACCAGCCTGGGCAATAGTGAGGCCTCATCTCTACAAAAATTTTAAAAATTACCCAGGAGGATTGCTTGAGCCCAAGAATTGGAGGCTGCAGTGAGCTAGGCTGACACCATGGCACCCTACACTAGGCAACAGAGTGAGACCCTGCCTCAAAAAAAAGGGGGGGGATAAAGATGACAGGTGCTCACTGGTCCATACAAATTAACACCCACTTGGAAATTCAGATTTGAAAACTTCCTCTGAATTAGAACAGTCACACAGTTTTAGGACAGCTCCTTCCCTCCCCCTCCTGTTGAACATCTGTTCTGGGTGCTCTCTGCTTCTAAAGTCAGAGGAGTCCTCCGGGGTGGATTCAGCTGGGGCGGGGGTGGGGGGGAACATGGCTTTTGCTCTGTTTCCGTTTAGCAGGAAACGGTTTGAGGCCTTTGGCTGGGAACCCCCTCTCAGAAAGTCTCCCTTTCACCTGGTGCACCCATGCCTTCCCAGGACTCGCATTGCAGGCTGGGAGTCAGTTCATGTTGGCAACACATCACCCTCCAAGTTGCTTGGAGGCCTTAGACTGCGGTGCAGCCAGCTGCTGCTGAGAGCATGTGGGTCACAGTGGGTCCCCTCTAGCTTTATCGTAGACTCACACTTCTCCCCTCCCCCGTCCATCCCCGCAGGTGAGAAGCCCCACAAGTGCCAGGTGTGTGGCAAGGCATTCAGCCAGAGCTCCAACCTCATCACCCACAGCCGCAAACACACAGGCTTCAAGCCCTTCGGCTGTGACCTCTGTGGGAAGGGCTTCCAGAGGAAGGTGGACCTCCGGAGGCACCGGGAGACGCAGCACGGGCTCAAGTGAGCACCTGGCTGGTTGCGAGCTGCAGCTACACAACACTACAGAGGGCGTCCTCCCCGCGTGCTGCCACCCCTTTCCAACTTCTCAGGCCCCCCAGGTCCAGTCTGCAGATCCCACCAGGGTGCTCCTTTGCCTTGCTTCCTGGAGCTGCCAGAGGGGATGAGGTAACTTTTCAAAGTTCAGCCCAGAGTGAGAACAAAAGACTTACTGGGCTTTGGACACAAACAAGCTCCTCCACACCTGAATATGCAAAGTCAAGTGGGAATCAGATTTTGAAGTCTTGGGCCCCACAGTCCTTCACATTCCCAACCCTGCTCCACCAACAGGAAGGTCCTTCGGGTTTCTTCCGTCCTCCTGGTCTACCCCAGACACTTGTGTGGAAGATGAGGAATCACCATTTACAACGGGGACACATGCTAATATTTTTATGTAGAAAGAAGAATGAGTGTTATTTTTATTTCTTTCCTTCTGGGGAGTCTGTCTACCCCTTTCTTTTGGGTACTGCCTATAAATCTTGGACGAATCATTTCTCCTCCTCGAAGACTGCTTCAGAAACTGATTTTGAGGAAGGAATTTAATACTTTTGAAATCACAAGATGCACTGTCAAGCCCGTCCCAAGAAGGAGCAGAAGAAAAGTGGACTTGGTGATGAGAGAGCATTAGAGGTCTGCCCTACAGGGGGCAAAAGCCCAGAGCGTTGCCTGTGGGTTGCCCAGGTACCAGGCACCATGCTAGGTACTGGGGAGCAGAGACTAAAGTCACAACCCCTGCTGGCTTGAACCTCCAACTGGCTATATCTGTTTTTTCCCTAATAGGGAGTTCAAGAAGACAACACAGAATCTTGAGCTTTCCCTTTGACTCTTTTGGATTTTATCAAATGTAAACACAAGGTAGCTGACCGGTGACTTCAAAGATTCATATGTATATTCAGTTTTTTATTGTTAAGCTGATATTTTTAAGATGTCTGAGCTAGCAGGCACGTGGGTGAAGGTTCTGTCTACAACTCGGACCCTCCATGTGAACCACAGAGGGAAACAAGTAATATTTTTACTTTGATAAGGTTTGTAAATGTTTGCATTATGTTTGTTAATACATATTTATTAGAGTGATGTTTTAAGTTAATAAAGTGTTCAGACTATTACAGATTGCTTTCATTTAGGCAATGAACTTGGGAGAGACCTTTGTTTTAGTCTGTGGGGGAAATCTGGCACTGAAGGAAGCCACAGTGGAGTATAGGAGTAAAGCAGTCAAGCCAACGTCCAGAACAGTAAAATCTGATTGCTCTGGTTTCCATATGCTTTCTTCTTTTCTTCCACATCTCAGAGACACTTCTTTCTTAACAGAAAAACTATTATAGAAGGGGTACAAAACTAAGCTCCTACCTTGTAAAGTCCCTGATGGTCCCACAGGTACATAAGCTCTTTCCTCTGGGTATTTCAAAGAGTGTTTTGTTTTGTTTTCTGTTTTTTAAACAGGCCAGAAGGCTCCCAGTTGAACAAAGAAATCACTGGCCTTAGGTCCAGAGATTTGAGTCTTAGTCACGGCCCTGTCACCAACACATTGTGTGACTTGGGCAAATCTTTTAACTTCCCTGATACCGGTTTCCTTGACCATAAAATGTGGATATGGTTCTGCCATCCCAGTCCAATCCTGACTACTTTGATTCTGTATAGAATGGAGAGGAGAAAACATACGAGACTGGTTAGCTTGGCTCACCTAAGGCAAGTCACAAATCTAAAGATGCATTAGGATCAGTAAAATGGAGATCTGGTTTATTTTTGACTCATCCCATCGGTGGGAATTTCTTGCATCCCTTAAAAGAATGAAACCAGAATGAGGTCATGGCCTGAATCTCTACCACCAGTGCTTTTAGCACATCACAGCCATTCAGGGTATGCTTGGCCCATGGTGACCACCAGCAGATTGGTGTTGGTGGTCACCATGCACCATTCAAATCAATTTCAGGCACAGTGATTGAGCACCCAGTGTGTGCCTGGCACACACTGTGTGCCAGGGCAGGGGGTGGGGTACAGCAGTGAGGACAATGTCCTATGGAGCTTTATTTATTTGGTCACTGCTGAATCTTCAGGTCCAGAACAGTGTCTGGCACACAATAGGCGATCAAGTATTTGCTGAGATGGCAAGTGAGTAATCAGAGAAAATAAACTCCTGCTTCATCCCATGGGCTGGCTCTGCTCTTTATAGCACAAAGGGAAGAGAAATTACTTGAGTGCCTAGGAAACAAATGGAACACACAGGGCTTTCTCTCTGGGTTGGTGGGAAAGGTGGGGCTTGGGAGCTGCCTTTTTCCAGCCTCTTCAAATCTCAGTCCTTGGCTGTCCTCACTTGATTTCCAACACCATGTCTTTCCATGTCAGTTTACTCTCATTCCAAATTTAAATTTGTTTTTTCTGTAATACAATTTAAGATTGTTTTTCAGAACTGATGGGTGATGAATAGTTACAGCATCCAGGAACCATTTCCTAGTGTCCTGGGAGACAAACCTCCCAAGGAATAAAGATGGCAAAATACCCTTCCCATAAAAGTCACCTTGTATACTGGTTGGTTATTCCAACTTCTTTGAAAAGTAACGAAGTTGCACTGAGGGGTAAGTAGAACTGATTGAAAGCTAGGTGTTTGTCCTATCCTGCACTTCCCTTACAACATTAGGAACATTTGGTCCATTTTCATTATCCTTGTTTGTGGTATAAATGAAGAGTTGTAATTCTGATGTTAACTGTATGTGGTTTTTTTTTGGAAAAAATTCATCTTAATATTCCCAGTTCAGAATCAGAACAAATTACTGCGCCTGTTGCTGTGTGAAATTTGAAGATCACAAATATCTCTCTTAATGTTATTACTTGACTCCATTAAAAATAGATTGTGAATATTCCATGTCACATTATTCATGAGGCAGGTTCTATGCCTTTTGTCTGCTGGAGTAATAGTAGAAAGGGTAACAAGAGACACCAGAGCACACCTTTGTTTCTTTCACTAAATTTTTAATAACACCTCCAGCTAGCCAGTTGGTGAAGCTCAGCTCTTGCATAAAAGTGGAAAAGCACAGCTATCTCTGAGAGGACCAACTCTTTCAGCAGCTAATTTGAGTTTGCGTTCATCTACACCAGACATGATTAAATTACCTATCAAGTGTGCTGAGCTATCAGGATTCAGGCCATGTAAAAGGTGAATTTCATCTGATTGATTTGAGACACGAATGGAACAAATGAGTTTTAAAAGCCCCGCCTTAATTAAAGGGTTAGCAAAGTATCACTCTCTGGCGACTTCTTGACTGCCATTGCCCTTGAAAACTGGATGGCGATAGTGATTTGACCCAAGTCATTTTGTTGTGTGCCTGTTTGTTTAACCTGATCATTTAACAGAAGAAATGAACTCAGAGGAAGACCTAAAAAGACTTCACTATTTTTTACTACGCATTTCTAAAGCACTATGTTTAAATCTGTGTTGCTATATTATTTTTACAGTAAAAACTCTTCAGGAAGTATATAATACATTTATTTTAACAACTTTTTTCATTGTCAGATTTAAAAAATAAAAATATTCAAAGAAATTTCACCCCACACTCTTCTAGCTTAAAAGTATGTGTTATTTTTTTAGTGTTCCTTTCCGATCTTTATCCATGTGCGTCTATTTATATTTTATATATATATATTTTTTTGAGACAGAGTCTAGCTTTCTTGCCTAGGCTAGAGTGAGTGCCGTGGCGTCAGCCTAGCTCACAGCAACCTCAAACTCCTGGGCTCAAGCAATCCTCCTGCCTCAGCCTCCAAGTAGCTGGACTCACAGGCAACCACCATCCGGGCCTGATTTTTTTTAAATATATACTATAGTACTTACGTTGGCCATACTTTCTTTCTATTTTTATGGTAGAGCCCGGGGCGTCCTTGGCTCCCGGCTGGTTTTGAAAGCTCCTGGACCTTGACACTCCAAGCCGCGCCTCGGCCTCCCAGAGTGCTAGGATTACAGGCGTGAGGCCACCCGGCGCGCCCGGCCTTACTATTTTATATTTTTTTCCTACCCTGCTAATCGGGTATTCTATAATTTATGGTCTAGATGGCTGCGTTTCCGCTTATTTTTTATTAATATGCGCACACCTGACACTATTTCAGCAATGGAGAACCTTAGACACTAGTTCGTGTAAATTTTATTGAAATCTTAGTATTTAATTTGGTGTGTTGTATCAAATGCATCTAAGAAAAATTATTTCTGGCCGGGCGTGTGGCTCACGCCTGTAATCTAGCTCTTTGGGAGGCCGAGGGGGTGGGAGTGTGCTCGAGGTCAGGTAGTTCGGAAACAGCCTGAGGCAGAGTGAGACCGGCCGTCTCGTAGCTCTAAACTACAAAGAAATTAGATTGGTGCCGCAACTGAATACATATAGGAAGAAGAGTTGAGCCGGGCCGGATGGGTGGCACATGCCTGTCTTCACAGGCTATTCGGGAGGGAGGCAGGAAGGATCGCTGGAGCCCAGGAATCTGAGGTTGCTGTGAGCTAGGCTGATGCCACGGCACTCACTCTAGCCTGGGCAACAAAGCAAGACTCTGTCTCAATACAAATAGCAATTACACACGAAAAAATATTTTCTGAAGTTTAATGTTATTCACTTTTTAAATAAAACACTTTAAACATACTGGAAATTATAGAGAATAATATAGTAAACATCAATGTACCCACCATTCTGCCATATTTACTTCAGGTATTATTTTTGAAATAAAATGTTACAGATATGATTGAATGATTATCTTCTGGAATACATTCCTCCCTAAACTTGTCCCCTTTCCTTGTTCTTCAGAGGCATCCACTATACTAAATTTGGTATATGTCATTGCCATGAATATGTTTATGCCTTTAATTTATATATATTCCCATAAACAATATATAATACTGTTTAGTGTGCTTTACCCTTTATGTAAACAGTATTATAGTTTATGTATACTTCTGCACCTTCCTCTTTTTTTGCTCAACACTTTGTTTTTGAGATTTATCCATGTTGATACATGCAGTTTAGATCATTTATTTTAACTGCTGCATATAGAATTCTGCTGGATGAATGCTCGGTGATTTATTTATCTGTTCTGCTGTTAGGACAGTTTTGGTCATTTCCAATTTTCCATATTATAAACAATTCTGAAGTGAGCAACCTTTTACATATCTCCTTGTGAAAGAGATTTTTTAGGGTATATTCCTGGGAATGAAAATGCTGGATATTACCAAACTGCTCTCCAAAATGGTTGTTCCAATTTAGTCTCCTCAATAGTGTGGGAGAATTCCTGTTACTACTCATCTTACCAACACTTGGTATTGTCAAACTTTAAAATGTTTATCAATCAGATGAATGTGAAATGTCATAGTAATTTGCATTTCCTGGTTCGTAGTGGGGCCAAGTATCTTTTCATAAGTTTATTAGCCTGACAGATTTCATTTCCTATGAAATGCCTGGTCATGTACTTTGTCCATTTTTCCATTGGGTTGCTTGCTTTTTATCAATTTGTTCTTTAAAGATATTCTAAACACTCACTATTTTGTTAGTTCAATGTGTTGCACATACATCCCAGTCTATAATTTGTCTTCTTTGCACTTTGAAGAGATTTACTTTTTGTGTTAATGTAGTCAAATGTATTGATCTTTTCCTTTATGGCTTATGCTTTTTATATCTTAATTAAGAACTCATTCTCTAACTGGTGGTTATTAGATCATTCTCTATATGTTCTTTTTTTTTTTTTTTTTTTTTATCTGCTTTGTTGCCCACTTTATTTTCAGCTAAATCCTTGTTTACACAGACAAAACAAGCAGAGGGAAGGCATGAACCTGGACGAGGTCCTGTTTTTTTTTTTTTTTTTTTTTTTTTAGGCAATTAAACTTAGCAGAAGGAGCTTTCTTCTAAAGACAGAACATTTTTGTATGTGTGTACTGAGAAGCTTTGA